ACCTCCCAGTGTTCGAAGTGTTTTCGGAGCGCGAGCATTGAAGATGCCAAGTGAGATTTTGGCGAAACGTCTGCAGGATTCCAGTCGGATGCAAGATTTGCAGGATTCCAGTCGGATGCAGGATTCCAGTCGGAGTTCAACGAGCGAACGGATGATATCCCGGAATATAGTGTCATCACATTTTTCCATCCGTGAATCAATACGTGAGAATATCATACACCTTTACGGGAAGGAGACCTTTACAGCCACCAAGTGTTATGAAAAACTAAGACAAAGGAGGGTTATTTCGCTGTGCAACTTGAATTTTCTTAAAAGCTGCCGCAACCAGAACTTGCTGCCAACATTTACAAGGTTGTCTTATCACACACGCACCAGAAAGACACAAGCTATCCTGGACAAAGCTAGCAAGGCCCTACTCCAAGACCAGATCAGGCGGACCCGGTACGAAATTAGTGAGACTGAGCTACAACTTTTCAGACTCCACCTGAAACTGAGCAACAAGATCCATCAGTTGCTGTGGGACCGCATAGAATTATTAACATCATGGCGCACTGAGAAAGACAAGGACATCACGTCAAAAAAACTGTGGAAGAAATTAGAAATCCTTCAGTCAAATTCCAAAAAATCAGGACAAGTGCCAAATACAAACCGAAGCAGTACAGTTCATAATATTTCAGCATACCATCTTTCCGATACAGAAGTCAGCGTACTGAATAAAGGATTTAACTACGCAATAGCTCCAAAAAGAGTACCCGTCGAAGAGATCGTTTCCAACGTCGAAGCAAGTCTTTCCACCATAGACGAACAAGATGCGGAGTTAATTAGGCAAGATGTCGCCAGAGTCTTAAGACAGTCAAAACCACCGCAACCAAACTTAAGCAGAGAAGAAATGCAAGCCTTAAGGAATCTAAACAAACACGAAAACATTCTAATAATGCCAGCAGACAAAGGAAATGCCACTGTCGTCATGAATACGTCGGATTATAATGCAAAATTGGAGGATATTTTGAACGACCCAATATACAAACTAGTCACCAGAGATCCCACGACATATTTGGAAAAAACAACTAAGTCCAAAATTCTCGATTCATCAATAAACGAGGATACAAAGAAGAAACTTATTCCGAGGGAAAAATCGAGTCGTTGCCCAAAATTCTACGGGCTGCCAAAGATCCATAAGGACGGGGTTCCCCTGCGTCCAATCGTAAGCGCCTTTAACTCACCATTATGCAAGCTGGAAAAACATCTGGCCAGTGCACTTCAGCCTATAGTGGAAAAGGCAGATTCCTATGTTAAAAACTCAGAACATTTCACTCAGATTTTAGGTTCTCTCAGGATGGACAAGGACGACATTATGGCAAGTTTCGATGTCAAATCCCTCTACCCGAGTATTCCAGTAGAAGAGGCACTCTTGCTTATAGAAGAAAACGAAGATCTTCCGCCATACATAATAGATCTGTCAAGACATTGCCTGAAAAACGCTTACTTTATGCACAACGGGAAAATTTACAGACAAATAGATGGAGCAGCAATGGGATCATCTCTCTCACCTGTGATTGCCAACCTCTTCATGATTTACTTCGAAAAGAAAGCAATAGAGAAGGCAAATCTGAAGCCAAAACTATGGACAAGATACGTTGATGACGTATTTGTTGTATGGCCTTTTGGCAAGGAGGAGCTTTTGAAATTCCTAGATCATCTGAATTCCATTCACCCAAGGATTCAATTTACAATAGAACTTGAAGAGGATAACAGTCTGCCCTTTTTAGATGTGCACATCACAAGGACCGAAGATGGACACTTGGAACACACTGTCTATAGAAAACCAACACACACTAATAGATATCTGAACGCTAAATCTCATCACCATCCATCACAGATACAGGCAGTGGCAAATACATTAATTGCTCGGTCCTTCAGGCTCACAAACGAGAGGAACAGAGATAAAGAACTGAAGAAAATTAGTACCTGTCTTCAACAAAACGGATACCAAAGGCGCACCATCAGCAAGGCAATCAGTAAACAACAACAGCCGCAGCAGAGAGTGCAGGACGAGACCCAACGAAGATCGATCGCTGTCCTGCCATACATCAAGGGGGTTACTGACAAAATCGGCCGAATATTACGGAAACACGACATATCAACGGCATACAAACCTGATCATACCATCGGAGCAATACTAAGAAACCCAAAACAAAAAATTACTCTGGAAAACCAAGGAGTATACAGTGTAGCATGCGGATCGTGCAGCCTGACGTATGTGGGACAGACCAACAGAAGGATTTCAGCCAGGCTCGAGGAACATCGTTTAGCCATAAGAAACAAACAAACAACATCTGCTTTGTTTCAGCACCAACATCAGACAGGCCATAAAATTGATTTCGGCACTTGCAAACAAATAGCTAATATTCCTGATTTTAGGACTAGGATTATACGAGAGGCCATCGAAATAGAAAAGTCCGGACACCTCAATACGAGAGACGACGCTCTGCATTTATCCAACACGTGGAGAACGATAATCAAACAGCAGAGCGATGCGCAGCAGCCAACGGGGACATCGCAACTACGATCGGGCGAAATTAACAACGCGACAATTCAGGGGGCGGAGCCACCTCCCCCCACGCACAAGCAGCACCGTTACCATCTCCGGCGCAGAGTATAAATACCGCACGCACCGCCGATAACCTCCCAGTGTTCGAAGTGTTTTCGGAGCGCGAGCATTGAAGATGCCAAGTGAGATTTTGGCGAAACGTCTGCAGGATTCCAGTCGGATGCAAGATTTGCAGGATTCCAGTCGGATGCAGGATTCCAGTCGGATGCAGGATTCCAGTCGGAGTTCAACGAGCGAACGGATGATATCCCGGAATATAGTGTCATCATATATATATATATATATATATATATATATATATATATATATATATATATATATATATATATATATATATATATATATATATATATATATATATATATATATATATATATATATATATATATATATATATATATATATATATATATATATATATATATATATATATATATATATATATATATATATATATATATATATATATATATATATATATATATATATATATATATATATATATATATATATATATATATATATATATATATATATATATATATATAAACTTATGTATTTATTTGTATGTATTTTAGGTTCCTTGATAAATATGCACAATGCGATCGAAACATTGAATAAAACCTTAAAAATTAAATAATTATGCTATTATTGAACAACCTCAACCTAAGAACAACTCAAGCATTGCATTTTTTTTAATTCCCTGCACACACCGGCACACAATACACAATAATGATATAGATTTTTAAATCTGGATTCAAAAGAAACATACATGCTAAGTTACAAAGAACTTGGACTGCACAAAAAAGGACTACACCACGAACTAACCAAAATTAGTGAAACTACATTTTGGCACTTAAAAGATAGTTCCCACCGCAAGACTATATTAAATAAACCTATATCAGACTCAGACTCTCTTACCAATATAGTGGACGGCATAATAAATTATCACAGAATAGTTTTTTTCTATTCCCGTCTGTAAAATACCTAATTACCCACTGATCTAGCATGCGGAAAGCGTCACTTTACCACGTCAGTTTCGTTTCCCATGAATTCGAGTCAGTTCGGACATTTCCGGGATTTTACCACACGGATTTGGGAGCAATCGGATGTTTTCGGAGATATTTCCTACGCTTTCAATTTTGACGTTTGTCAATTCTGACGGTCATGTCAGTGAATGTATTAGTGTTGTTTTGCGAAATTGTACCCAAAAACTAACGGTCGTAGAAAAAGTATAGTACGCAACACGTTCGGTAAACTTTTTAACTCACTCGTTTATTAAAAACTCGCTCCGCTCGTGTCAAATAAACTCGTGAGTCAAATTCCGTTTACCGCACTTGTTGCATAATATACTATTGTTTTGTATTTCTAATCAAAATTTTCAGAACATTCTTTGAATTAAATCACCAGACATTGGACTTCGCGTTATTCAAAATATACTATCTGAATAAAATAAACTGGATAGTCTTTATGGTACTCAACCTGTGTTATGTTGAATTCAATCAACATTGCATTATAGAAGATCATATCACAATTAACTTATTAACTTGTTGTGGTGTCCAAATAACTCAGGCATACTCTAAACGTGGACTGTCGGAGACGTTACATAGCCTGATAGCAATCCGTATCTTAAAATATTTGAAGTTTATAATTATAAACCGTAGGGTGCTTTACTCACAATGCTGAGATAGTATTAATTCTAAGCGTTACTTGGGATCCCTTTAAACGGCCTATCAAAACCTAAGTTATTTATGGTGCAATTAAAATTATCTTCTTTTATTCATTTATTCATTTGTTTACTTTTATGAACATCTAGTTTTCGCTAAATCATACTGTAATACCATGTACGTTTTTCTGTAAAGCTTTAAAACTTACTTAATAGTTTTAAACAGTTTATACTCATCTGTTAAAGAAATCTGGAAAAATGGAAAACGAAGGAGGTCCCAAATTGCGTCCTTGCGGCACGCCTGATGAAGCCAGAAAGCACTTTGAAAGATTTTTTCCAACTTTAACCCACGCTACTACACTACTACTACTACATGCGTTCAATTAATTGATCGGAGTTCCATGATCAACCTTATCAAATTTCTTAGAACATAATTTTTTAAATATTGTAAGTATATCACTCTAAAGTATGTGTTAAAATATTTTTTCAATCAAACTTGTCGGTCTATCCGAGAGGTTTTATCTCCTTTTCTTTCATAAACTGGAATGATAATGTTGCACTGTAACTAGTTAGTCAGGAAACCGATAGCATTTAATACCCATGATGAAGTTGGTAGACAATCGTAACTAGGAGCTGGTTCTAGTTCCCTAATACTAGTTCAATTAATTTCCTAATTGGCCGATCTTGTCGTTAGGGTTCGGCAGAATTTAAAATACTGAGTCAAAGTAGTGCGTTATCTGTCACTAACTATAGAACACTGAACGTTTGGTTTCGATATTTCACTTAAACTGTAATGCTATTTTAACTTTTACAAAAATAAAACAAAAATGAATTAAGACCTTCTATATGTTGGTTGTATACATTAAATTTATGTTTTCTTTGACTTTTGATAGCACCTCTTAAATTTTTATACTCAGCAATAATTGGTAAATTAGCTTTACCAGATTGTACTATCCCATGCAATCTAGTTTTATGTCTAATTTTTTCACGAAGCACTAAAAAACGAGATATTAGAAGCGACAAGCGATTTTTAAATTTGATACAAAGTTACAAAAGGAAAGACACTCACGGGCGTACTAATGAGACGTAATTAAATTAACTACCCGTATGAAAATGAGCGTTTCGGAATCCGGGCAAATCTGATTTCGGACATGAACGCCGCTGGCACCGCAATTGGCGTTACTATTTTGACAGTCACGGCGGTCTTTGCTTTTATAAGTAAGTTGGGCCTTAGCATAAACGTTGAGTTTCTTCTTGCGGTTTAATTTAAACCATAATTAATTCAGATAATAAAAAAATAAAAGAACACAAAGAAGTATATTTTTTAAAATAATATAAAAAACGGAAAATTACTAACACTTTTGGGGAAGATAGTTTAGTCAAGAGATCGTCGCATTTGGTAATGTGGAATAATATTTTGGGGTTTCAGAGCTTCTTCAGACACCAAACGGGCACCAGACCAAAGGAAACAACACTTACCAACTGATTGATCCAGCTGGACCGGATATACAATTCGTCCTTTTTACAAGGTAGTGTATAGTGCATATATGCAGACGTTCCCTTCATTGGATCTTAAAATTGAAAACGAAATTTCCAGTAAATTTAAGATATTAAAGAAAACAATTGTTACGTGGTATTACACTGCAATTATTATTGATGACTCTGCGAAATTAAGCGATATTTTCTACATGTACGGAGTTAAATTCCATAGCAACCTGATATTATTCTTATCTTCCCATTTATTTTATGGCGTCTGTGTAGCGAGCTTTATTTACAAATAATCGTTAATCTTCAATAATGACAGTACCCGACGAAAATACCTGGATTAATTCAAAAATATTAAGTCATGTTAAATTGGATCCGTTGCAAAGGAAGTATCTACTTAGTTACAATATTGGTTTAAGGAATAATTCACCATGTCACCTAAGATTTGGAGATCACCAAACGCTCAATACTTCAGGATTTAGTGGAAATCGAGAAACGAAGATAATTACTCACGGTTTCTTAAGCAGCATTGAAAATGATGTTTTCGTTATGAGTCGAGATGGTAAGTAAGCTCATTCTCTAATCACAAGCTTACATGAATTAGAATATATTAACCCTCCATTTCTTGTTTAGACAGCTGTTTATCTGATCCTCAATTGGATATTAGGCAAGAGCTCCTATAAAATTTGTTTATAAAATTGCTCAATATATTTTACATGATTTTTTGAGTATCAAAGATCTGGAACTTATTGTTACTGATAATGCCTTTAATAAAGTTTTTGAGTTACACTGTAAATTTATTACAATTTTCCCCATTTTTTTTTATCAATTGGAAATCCACGTGTATGTAAGGAAGTCACCCAATAAGTTGTGTCAGCTTTGCTAGATACTGGCGATTACAACGTGATTGGAATGGATTGGTCTGTTCTCTGTCGAATGGAATACGTGTCGGCAATGCGTGGGGCGAAAACGGCGGGACGAAGGCTAGGGGAATTTATCAACTTCTTAGCAAGAAACGGTGTATCACTGAACAGTGTCCACCTTATCGGGCACAGTCTGGGAGCCCACGTTGTCGCCATTGCCGGAGACGCTGTGAAAGGGGGACGAGTTGCGAGAATCACTGGTTTGACGATACTTTACTTTAATTAAAGATGAATTGTAATAGCCAATTTTTATTCGTAGGTCTCGACCCGGCTGGGATCGGTTACGGTGATATTCGTCAAGATATGAAATGGGATAGAGGAGATGCTCAACTGGTTGATGTCATTCACACTTATTTGAAGTTAATCGGGGCTGCGCTGCCCTTGGGTCACGTGGATTTTTATCCAAATGGCGGTCAAACGCAGCCTGGTTGTCCATACATGACAGGACGTGAGTAAAATACCTTATAACATATATCTTCTTAGCAAAAGTTTTTGACAATTTATGAATCTCAGAAGATGAAACACTTAAAGTCATTCCAACATCCATTTATCATCATCATCACAACTGTTGATTCAAATTGGCAGTTATAGAGCTTTATGTTCCTTTCCTTCATTAGTCTCCACAGCTTCGACAAAGACTTTATGGTGTTGTTGCGATTGGTTTTGTTCCGCCCAGCAGATAAATAACATTCTCACATTGACTTCTGAAGAATTCTTTGGCCTGTCTATGTCCTGTGTCCTCTTTTCTTGGCTCCACAAAAGGGTTCTGGTTCAATCGTGCTCCTTACATACGGCATAAATAGTACTTCTATTCTACTTTAGTCAATTTACCGGACGCCATATATTGCAACCACGGCAGATCGCACCAACTGTTTGTAGAAGCAATTAGAAATCCGAAGGCGTTTCGAAGTAAAAAATGCAGAAATTTGGAAAACGCCCTAACTGGCAGATGCTTTGAAAATACAGACGTCTATATGGGCCAGCCTGACACGTACAGGTACAATAAATTTTTATGGAGATTTCAATTTTTGAACTTATTATTTGGCAACTGGTTCAATTCGGCAAGTATTAGAGTACAAGTATATACCGATCATAAAATGTTTTCTGATGTCTATTATTGCTACCAATTTGTAGAGAAAAAAAAAGTGACTATTTCTTTGGGTTCTAGGCCCGGCTTGTATTACTTCACAACGCGGGACACTCCCCCCTACTCCATGGAGGGAAAACAATATTCTACGGCTATGGATACAACAAACCACTCTCAATCCAATTGACATATTTATTGGAAATCGCTCCGATTAGATAAACAATTCAAATTAGAAAACAAAATCGCAAAGCGCTATAAAGGTTTGATTTAATTCATATCGAGGCATTTTGATTTTTTGCCTTGTGATTTTTGTCTAGTTTTCATTTCATCGGCATACAAAAAGAGTGCCAATGCCTATTAACAGAACAAAAGTTTCTTATTATTTGAATAAATTTTGTACACATTGAAATTGGCTTACCGTAACTTACTTTTACTAAATGTACCTAATCCTATATCTGAGAATACACTAAGTATAGATTGTCAAGTGGCACGAAAATTACGCTAAATAATACGTTTTGACTGTTGCACATTAAAATGTAGTGTGTATGTATAAACATGGTTGCCGATCTTTTGTTCAAGAAATGTAAAATGCTAGAGGTGTGTCATAAAAATACTTTCGCTTATTTAAAAATATTTTTTCTCCCATATAGAAGTGAGCTACTCTCTTTTTAACCCTTTCTCTTTTTAACTTCTCCCTCTCCTTCTAAATTTCTCTGTTGAACTCAAATACTGGAGGTTCAAGGCGAGAGGTTCTGACTTAAATATGTGAAAACTACAATTTCGTTTTAAACAATGACAATGGATCTCCATACAGCAATAATAGAACACATCGACTTGTTTAAAATTGCCCTTAACAGTCTTAAGTTGGAATAAAAACATACATTAACTATGATAAAACTTTGATACTGTTTAATTCGCCTAGTTAGAGTGTTGTAAAACTTGCTTTTTATTTAGTGCTCACTAGAAGTTAAGTACGATCGTATTGTTAACAATATTCAGCAGATTTCAAGTCAAAATGTTTAAGTAACTCTTTAAATTGCTTATAAATCTTACACAGCCAATAGACTTTCAATCATTTTCCGCTATTTTCAAGACCAGAAGCAAAGATTCAGGAAATCAGCTTGTAATGCAAAAATAAGCATGCTTTCCGTCGTGGCAGATCATAAGGTTATTGCCAGATATTCAACTTGTAGTATGTATGCATGTATCATAGAATTTTGATTTCTCATCGTTTCTGCAGTTGACATATTTTGATAACGGAATAACAAAAAAAACACAAAGGCAACATCTAAACGCCTAATAAAATTTTGAGCTCTGGAGTGAAAGTCTCTTTTGTCTTTGTGATTGTCTCATTTAGCATTGATAAGCTTTTCACGACGCTATCTGTAAACTATCGTGGCTGTTTCGTTTGTTTCAATGAGAATCTGAGTTTTCGCTAGAACGGCTGATTATTTTTTTCCAATATGCAAAATTATGTTAAAATTAAACTGTTCTTTAACGCGTCTACAAAAATGTAATCACTACATAAGAAACAAGTTTTAAAAGTCTTAGAGCAATATTGTTTTATACATGTTCCGTAATATACATAACGCAGTGAATAAAAAGGCTTTCTTAATAGCTAAGATTGATAATAGACATAGAATTTGCGCCTTTTATTTGCACCTATAATAAATAATTCTGTGTAAATCCCTTATTTTTGTATTTGTTATATGCTTATTACATTTAGTAGTAAATATGACAGATATCTATCCATATATGGAAGAATTGGTTAAATCGAGCGCAGACACAGTATCAGCATCACTCTTGGTGTTCAAAGACTGTAATGGAAACGTTGTTGCCTACACTAAGGTCATCGAATTGAGGGTTGACTGTTATTAATAGCTAATTTTGAATCGATATTCTCATCGAAAAGAACTCACAACTGTTGAAAAAACGTTATTGTAGTTAGCCACTGTTTACAAGGAAATATCGATTCTCTAATAATTTTGTGGTAAATCTTCTGCTGAGGTTGCTTCGAAAGTTGGCGATCATTCTGACTGTAAGTTTGTTGTTTCCAATCCAGATCATTTGTGCGGAATATGTACTAGACCTTGCTGGAAGATTGGCGGACCAGCTGATTTTACTGCCTTCTGGCGCTTTTATTTTTTTACAATTTATGTTTTTTGTTGATCGTGATATCACCCAAGTATTAGAGCTTATGAAATTTAATGGCTGTTAACAATTTCGGTGCAGGCTTTCATTCTCAATAACGCTTCCTCATTAGTAATCTCTTGAGTCTACATACAGTACAGTACAGTCTAGGGTATCTTCAAGATTCTTGTATACAATCAGCCTTCAAGTTTAGGAATAGTTTCCTATTTTAAGGTCGATGTCTCCTCCCCGTATAAAATAAATGGTTACACGTAATATTCGAAGATTTTTCTGTTCATTTCTAGTGAGAGGCTGTGGCTTGTAGCTAGTGGCCATTCCAATTTTGCATATTATTCTTGGGAATTTTCGTTGTTTTCCCATATCGTAAGATTTTCATTTCTTGTATGGTTTATGTACAGATTTGCTCCATAGACGTCTTTCTGGTTTGACCGATGTTTACATAAAATCAATATGTTTCTGATATATCAAACTGTTAACATTCGGTATAAAGATTGCGCTGTTTATGTGTGCGCCTTTCTTTACCAGCCTGTTGAAAAATTTAATCATTTTGCGGTAGGAGTTAATTAGAAAAAACCTCTAGATGTTTCCAAACAGGTGGCTGATTCGAGAAAAAACGAAAAAGGTCAAGTAGAAATTGAGCTCTGTGTACTGCGTCCACGCGACGATCCACTAAGCTACTGATATTAAATTGATGCAGAAATCGGCGTTTGTTAATAAATATTCACGTCTATTTCCGCAAGTGTTCACCCGCATCGATATAATTCTTACTCGTTAAGAGATCTACGTTCTACAAGTCCACTAAAACACATCTTAGGAGATGATACACGAGTTGCGTTTGCCGTGTTTATCACGTATCTGCTGCAAGTGCTGCAGTTGGACCGCAGAAGGGATCATCGCAGAGGAGGGAGCGTGTGAGGTCGTACCGTGGCCAGTGGGACCTGTAGGCAACGACTGTCTCCGTCGTCGACGCAGGGCCGGACTCAAATTATATTTGACCTGAAAAATTAAAAAAAAACTGATCGGACAGCATAAGTACACCTTTAAAGTATATCATGCCATTAAAAAGTTCGATTATAATAGTCAATTGGTGAAGAAAAAGTAATGACCGGTAGTGATATGTGATCTGACCTTGGCTTGAGCGAGAAGCTCTTTGAACACCTTGCTGACGTTGACGTTCTCTTTGGCGGAAGTTTCGACGAATCCGTTTTCCCAATCGACGGTTACAACCGACTCCGTCGTTGCTGTGTCAACCTGAAACGTCATTAGGAGTAACAAACAAATGAGTTTAAGTTTTCCTCATTTCCTTGTAAAATACCAGACCTACATATTCGCAGATCCAAAACATCTAAAATTTGTTGCAAAGAATACTTTACAATAATCAATTGACAAGTTGTAGTAAAGGTAAACTGAAATTTTTGCGTTATTTTAGAATTTAATACAACATATTAGCTTTTGTACAGCGCTCAAATCCTTTTGAGATTCGTATTTGACAGTATTGTTTCGCTATATTCTTAATAAACTTTATATATCTATTAGGAATGAATTTGTCATTGGACAATAAAAACGAAAATAGACACACATTTTATTGAGTACTTGGTCACGAAATACGAAAATATTTACTTCCCTTAAATATTTCTTAAATGTTAAAAAGGTTTGTTTCAGATATTTTCATGCGTAATCCGCTCAAGTCTTATTGTCTCTATCTTTACTGGGATTGTATATCGATACTTTCAGAAAAGGTTATTATTTAGTCGCTTTTGTCAAGTGTTATTTACTTCTCGAGGACTCCGGTTTGTACTGAAGAATCATAAGCCACCCCGCCAGGATAATTGTAAGACATTCCGATTAAAGGGGTTGAAATCTGAGAAAGCGCTTTTAATTACCTACGGAGATACAAGAACTTGTTTTTGTCTTCAACGCTTATAATACCTGCTTGTTTACAACATTTTTTAAAAAAATAACTGAAAATTGAAGAAACGTGCTTTACTAGATAATATTCATTTCTCAGCAATGCCACATGTGACAGGAGTAGTTACGTTAGCGTCACACGCGTTAGGGTCACTATTTACGTGAAAAACAAAGCTTCAATATTGCTCTTCTGAAAACATCAAGATTTTGAACTTGTTAAATAATTTTCAAATGGTCTCAATTTTTACAAAAAAATAAAATGACAAAATAGTTATATAAATTGTAAATATACAGGTTGGGGGAGGGTGCGATTATTGGGTCCACTTTAAAAAGAAAACTTCATATGAACATATGTTCTAGACGTCTTAACTTTTGACAAACAGGGTTGTAAAGTTTTCAAAAATAAAATCTTCTTCTTTTTGGCACTACAACTCTGGGTGAGTCTTGGCCGCATACACTATTGTCCTCCAGCTCTGTCTATCCTGAGCTTCCAATTCCCAAAGGGTTATACCCATTTTCCTCGCGTCCTCCGTAACTGCGTCTTTCCACCTCCTTCTAGGTCGGCCAACAGATCGCTTTCCTTCTGGCCTTTCACAGTATATGATATTTAAGAGTCTCTGATCATTGCTCCTAACAACATGCCCTGCCCATCTCAGTCGACCAGATTTAATACATCTTACTATGTTTTCCACACCATATAGTTGTTCAAGTTCATTATTATTTCGACGTCTCCATTCTCCTGTTACAATATCCCTGGTTGATCCAAAAATCGCTCGTAGTATTTTTCTTTCGAAGACCAGAAGCTTGTCGGTTTCTCTTTTGTTTAGGACCCACGTTTCGCTACCGTATGATAAAACAGGGCGTATTATGGTCTTATATATTTTTATCTTAGTTCCTCTTGTAAGTATTTTGGATCTAAGGAATCCTGATAGCGCATAGAAAGCCCTATTTGCCGATGCAATACGTGCGGCTACCTCTTTTTCGTTCCTGTTGTCATCTGTTATTGTCGCTCCTAGGTATTTGAACTCTTTTACGACTTCAAAATTGTAGTTATCTATTGTAATATTTTGCCGTATTCTTTGCCTGGGGTTCTTAGACGTTATCATATATTTAGTTTTAGCTTCGTTGATCCTTAATCCCATTCTTTGAGCATGATTTTCAAAAGAGGAGAATATTTCTCTAACATCTATAGTATTATGTGCCACAGCATCTATGTCATCGGCAAAGGCTAACATAAGTTTCGTACCATCCGTTGCGAAACCCGGTGTTATTTGGGGAGAGATTTTCTTCATGGCCCAGTCCAGAGCCAGGTTAAAAAGCAAAGGGGATAGAGGGTCTCCCTGTCGCAGGCCTGTATGTATTTCAAATATTTCTGACGTAGTCTCACCAATTCGTACTTTTGCTTTGGAGCCCCCTACGCACATTCTAGTTAAACTTATTAATTTTAATGGGATTCCCAATTCCCTCATTGCATACCATAGCTGATCCCGGTTGACTGAGTCGTAGGCCTGCTGGAAATCCAAGAATATTTGGTGTATGTCTTTATTGAATTCCCAGCATTTCTCCATAATCTGGCGGACTATAAAGATTTGATCCGTCGTAGACCTCCCCGGTCGGAATCCACATTGGTAATCTCCTAATATTTCCTCGGCATATGGTGTTAGTTTCTGCACAAGGATCAATGTCACTATCTTATAGGTGGTATTTACCAATGATATTCCTCTATGGTTACGACAGTCCGCTTTCTTTCCCTTTTTATGGATTGGTATTATTATGCTACTGTTCCACTCATCTGGCATCTTTTCGCGTTTCCATATAGTTGATATGATCTGGTGTATCATTTGGTGTAGTTCATTTCCTCCGTTCTTTACGAGTTCTGCATTAATTTCGTCTTCCCCTGGGGATTTGTAGTTCTTTAATTTGTTGATAGCCTTCTTAACGTCATCTAGTGTAGGCGGTTCCAATTCCAATTCTGCAGTATAGAAGTGCGTGTCTTTGTCACTTCCATCTACTTGTCTATTAAGCAGTTCAGAGAAATATTGCCCCCATCTTTGAATTATATCATCCTCCGACGACAGTAGTCTTCCGGTGCTATCTTCTACAAAATTTAGTTCTCTTATCGTCTGTCCTGTTTTTCCGATTCTTATTCCTCTATAAAATTCTCTTACAAAATACAAAAATAAAATATGTTACATTAATATCTGTAATACCACTTTAGATATTTTAATGACATTTGGCACACATGTATTATGTATCAAGAGGTATTATTTAGTGTAACACAATATTTTTTTAAATACACCACTTACTGACGACGGAATTTCACTTGTCTATTGTTTCAGACATTGATATTATCATACATATATTATATTAATCATGCAAAGAATAAGAATAATTTTTATTTTTAATTTAAAAATCAGTTGCGTAACACCAACGTCCGCCAAAATGTACAGGTAAAATTACCTACGCCCGGCACTGGTGCATTTAAAAAAAAAATTTAGTACACTAGATAATTGCCTCTTGATAGGTAGTACACGTGTGCCAAATTTTATTAACATATCTAAAATGGTATTACAGATATTAAGAAAATATATTTTATCTAAAAAAATATGCAGCACCCTGTATCTAAAAAGTGAAGACGTTTACCACATAAGTTCATATAAAGTTTTCTTTATAAACTTGAGTCAAAAATCGCCCCTTTAATTATTGATATTCAATTAGAAAACACCCTGTATACAGAGAAATACGGAAATATACTTGCATCTGGAAAGTCGCCAGAGAAGACAGCTCAATAAATGCATTAAAAATTAGAGCTACTAAGCTCCAAATGAAGTAAAATTATAATCTTGTTAAGTATTAATTCCTTTCTTGTCTGAAAACCGAATACCCCTTAATTTCATCTGATAAATCCTTAATATTCTATTTAAATATGAACGCCGAAAATGGAAATTTAGCAGAATTAATACACACCGCGGTTTTTGTCGTAGAAAACTCGACAAAATTTAATCGCAGAAAAGAGGGGGACGGGTTTAAAAGAAAATTATAAGGAAAGAAAATGGCCATCTTTCGAAGTTGCTTCAGAGTCTACGAGTTTCTCTTCTCACGTAACCGTAAACCGGAGCTATACCTGAATGTAGCAATTTAACTTTGAAAGCGAAATTCTGCCCCCATTGAATTGCTGCAAGTAACTTATAAGAATCGGAATTTTATTCTATATATCTGTGCTCCATTTTGAAATGGTATTCGAAAAGAATGCAATGACGATTTATTTTTAGCTCTGCACAAAAATACTGGTGCTTGTTTTTTAGTACAGAGGGAATTTAGTTTGGTTAATCAACATCCCTTTAGAAATGTCTCCTTCAGATGATACTCTCTGTAAAAGTGGCCAGGCGTTTTAAGATACCTAACTGAAATTTAGAACACAAATACCTTTGCTTGGTGGATGACCCAGGGTAAGGAATGTGTGGTTTAAATTTCATTTATCTTAAACCCTTTCAGAAATAATAAAAAGTAAATAATAATGAATAGCGAAAATACTCATTTCTTTGATTATCGCCTTGACCGAAGTTCGAAAAACTACGTAAAAAATATATATCCATTTGTTGTATTAAAAGGATAAATTGTTCTAAAAATTTAACTGCATAATTATTAAAGCGATAGAATAAAAAAAATTTCACCGCATAAGTATTAATTACAACTACTTTAATCGATTTCCAGTTAAGTTAATTACTTTAATAATTTAATAAGGGTTTATTTAATAACCTATGAAATGAGGGGTTTAAATAATTTAGTTAGATGAAATTATTGCGATATATCTTGAATGAAAATTGATAAATGAATGAGATAATTTTATTTGTCTACTCCCGTCTGTAAAATACCTAATTACCCACCGATCAAGGGTGCGGGAAGCGTCACTTTACCACGTCAGTTTCGTTTCCCATGAATCCGAGCAAGTTTGGACATCTCCGAGATTTTACCACACGGATTTGGGAGCAATCGGATGTTTTCGGATATATTTCCCAGGCTTTGAATTTTGACGTTTGTCAATTTTGACGGTCATGTCAGTAAATATATTCGTGTTGTTTTGCGAAAGTGTATCGAAAAAGTGACGGTCGTAGAAAAAGTATAGTATGCTATACGTTCGGTAAATTTCGATAAGTCACTCGTTTATTAAAAACTCGCCGTTTACCGCACTTGTTGCATAATATACTATTAAATCTTTTCAAATAAAATTAATCATTTCTTATATCAGCAGCATTCAATGAAATTACTTATTTTGCAGTTTCAATGTTGAGAGAAAAAAGAGTAATAAAATTAATTTACAACAAAAAAATTACTTTATTTTT